AGATTCATTTGCTTTTCAAGATAAATCCAAAAAAAAAAAAAATCCAGGGTCAAGTGACACTCAAAATAAGTATGTGACTGGCACAGATAACCAAGAAACTAATTTCACATGCTTATTCACTCATCGTTTTCTTGGTTTCAGGAGAATGATTTGGTCATAGACCAGAGAACAGCAGTGGGGAACTTTAGATGGATGGATGCTCTTAGCTTTAGGTTTCCACATTGCCTAAATACCTAGATACATAGGAAGCTATTCATGGGGCCAGGACAGCCTTCACTACACTAGAGTAGTGACTGCCAAACTGCTGTTGTTATCTGAGTCTCTGATTCTCCTCTTGGCATCCTCCTAAGACATTCCTTCTGTCCTCAACTTTCCTTTCTAGATGACTTCTCAGATCAGTTCTATTTATTGATCCCTTTAACTTTCCAGGAGAGAATATAGATGTTCTGATTTGTATAAACAGAGCTTGATTTATTTTGCTATATTTATCTAATGAAATAAATTTTCAGGTAGTTTCAGCTAATTTAGAAATAGAAAAAGTAACTAAAATGATAGCCTGGGCTGCCATAAACTTTTGAACTATGTCACCCCAAAGAATGGCCCACTTGAATATTCCCCAGACCACTGTTGGCTTCTCTAAAAGATGAGACTTAACAACACTGAAGCCTGAGATAAGCCTACTGCCCTTATTTCTATCAATAGAAACTTGAATTTTGAGTAGCATTGGGCAGCTTCTGGGGGGAGAGGTAAGTATTTTAGGAATCCTGGGAGATAAAAAGTTTGGGGCCTCAATGAGGCCATTTCAGGAGGGTTATAGTGCACTTGTGATCCCACTTTGATTGATGCCATCAAGACTGCTGCAGAAAGACTTTTACCTAGTTTATGGACAATCTCTAAGGAAGTTCTTTAGCAAGTGGGTTATTTGTCAGAACTATGTGGCTTGGGAACCTTGGGGGGAAAAACCGCATGAATAAGAACAAGTAAGACCCAGTGTAGGGACAGCTTGGGCTGGAGTGAAAGGGAGGTCGTGAAATAACCCCAACACATCCAAAGGTAAGACACAAAAGAGAAAGGAACAGAGATGAGAACGTGCTTAGACTATTTGGAAACTATTCTGGGGACTAAACTTTCCATTCTCTAGCCTTGGGCAGACTACATCTTCACATTGAAAGAAAACAAACCTGTTGGAACGTCATTGTAGGAAGGTTTAGACTTCTGGACATAGGGTTGATGAAGGCTCATCATTCTGATTGGAAGAAGCAAGAAAACACATTAGTCAGTTGGCTAGAGTTTAGTTAAAAGGAATGTGTCTTTACATATAAAGCACAAGCGATCTCCACTGCCACACCTGTTAGGCTGCAATAAAGCCCCTTTGAAGTGGGATGAGGTACTGTCCAAATGCCATTAATTCTCAAGCACTATTACTTAGTAATATCTTCACAGGTTCTGATAAAATTTTGATTTAAAATGATTTTATTCTTTCATCAAAAAATGGATGGTCTAAAAATAGTTGGGGTTTGGGAAAGATTTCTCTAATTTCTGTAAAAAAGTAGAAAAATTTCCAAATTAGTTATCTATCTTGAAAAGCAAAACTAGGAAATATTTTAATTAGAGACTTTCTGATATCTCCATTTCTCCTGGTGGCCAAAGCTGTGGAGGTGACCCTGACCCAAAATATGTATGAGCCCAAAGCATTCTAAATTGATCTAAACTGTTCAGTCCTTTAAGATTCACAAATTGGTAAATTACCGTGATGGAGTGTTTAAAGCTGTACACTTATTTTAATGTTCCTACTTCCACAAAGATCTTCTGGTGTTGCTTTTGCTTTGTTACCAAAGCACATGACCAGTCTAGACAGTTTGCTTTATTTGATTGTCACTGGAAGGCTAAGAAAAAAAAAAAGTAAAACCTGTCTATTATCCACCTTGGGGTAAACAGGCTAGCAGTATTTGTAGTCACAAATGGTTTACGTTCTATCATTCTACAATTCGACAAATAATGTATCTGTTCTTTAATCTCTTTAATCGCCCTCTCATCTTCATTCTTGACATTACAAAAATTAACTCTTGCAGTGGCTAAACTTACGGTCCCTAAAAAAAAAGGAATTGCTTCAGTGAGGACAATTCCACTGGCTTATGTGTGTGGTGGGGCTTAAAAACTGTGGAGGAAAGAGTTCCTAAGCTATAAATAGAACCACATTCTTATTTTACAGCTGCTCTAGGTATTCTTAAGCAAAATTGGTAGGTTTTCTTTCATTATGTTGAAAAGGAAACCAAAAAAAAAAAAAAAAGTTGGTATGTTTTAACATTATTCAATTCCTGGCCATAGTTTAAAGGAATAAGATCTACTTGTTTAAAATAAAATTAATCAATGATTTTTGGATTCAAGGCTTTACATTCTAAATGAAGTAGAGCGACAGATTTCAAAAGTCTCACAGAAGAATGATATTTTCCTTAGAATTCCTTAATTAAAAGAGTTTAGCTTTTTGGTTCACGAAGAGTATTTTTAAAATTACTTTTATCCTATTTAGCTTGGGTTTCATGTTTTGAAATAAACAATTTAAAAAAAAATACTTTTATCATAAGAACTCTTTAAAAGAAAAAGAAGGAAGTATGAGTAAATGTTATTAGGGCAGGTAGTTGGACTGCCCAAATGCCTGTTTCCTTTGTGATCTATGTGTACCTGGGCCAGGCACATAGTTTCAGTGCACCTGATTTGTGTCATAGCCTGGAATAGAAGGCCCCAATGCCATAAAATCAGTCAGAACATCTTCTTCTGAACAATTTAAGGTGATGGAAATACTTGTTGATTTCTACCATATTTTGCTTTATACAGGGAGAAAATTAAATATTACCTTTGTAGCCTATACAAATTTTTCTAAAGGTGACTCTACATCCACATTTCAATCATCTATTGCAAGACATTCAGAATACTGAATCTTAGTCAGAGTGAGTGCATATTTTTTGTGTTTTTACTTTTCAGTTATTTGCAAAATAATGGGTTTCATTATGGCCTTTTCATACATGTGTATCACTGCATTTTGGTTTTGAGGTTTTTTTTTTTTTAAATAAAGTAAAAAGGGCCAGGAGGGGTGATGCATGCCTTTAATTCTGGCACTTGGGAGACAGAGGCAGGCAGATCACTGTGAGACTGAGACCAGCCTGAAATGGTTTCCATAGTGAGTTCTAGGCCAGCTCCATAGGGAGATCCTGTCTCAAAAACCCAAAACCAAATCAAGGCAACAAAACAAACAAAAAGTAAAAAGTAAACCAATCTTAATTTTTGAGAAAAAATTTGAAAATCCAACTGATTAGAATTTGACTATAGTTCATTTCTGCTGTTTTTTGGTGAAGGAAGCAGGGATGTAAAGGGAAAGAAAGAACCTGAGAGAGAAGACCAGTGACTCCCAAAATTACACAGGCTATTGCCACAGCCCTTGATTGCCTCCTAGAACTTGAAGGTAAGACCCTATTGCTGAAGGCAGAACATACTTCAGACACAGGATTTGGAGCAATGGAGCTGGAACTGACCTGGGAGCCACCTCCCCTAAAGGCTAGCTCTCATAGCTTTGGAGAGCACTTTGAAAGCTGCTAAGGAACATCAATCAACAGTCCAACCCCAGCTTCAAGGTTTAATAACCACATCAATGATTGGCACAGCTAACAATATTGGTGTAGTAGTGGCACTTTTATCTTGGGGGGTAATCAACAGCTACAAATTGGACTTAAATCTCACTCAATGGGAGAAAACTCAGGTTTGGTACTATAAATATAACTAAATATACATGGCTGGAGAGGTCTTAGAACTTAAGAGAAATCTCCAAGGCTCTCACATCCTTAGGCAAATGTAATTTCTTACTATCTACAAAATATGAATCCTTATATTTATAGACAAATATCCCAGTCACCTTTCATCAAAGAAGCTTCTTTTGAAACAGAGACTATTAAAGAGTTTCACAACTAGTCACATACATTGTCTGTGAATTGCCCAATTTTAAGTGCCACATCTAAAATGCAGCCTCTATACCTAAATCTCATGGAGCATAAAATAAGGAGTAAAGAGGACACTAATGCATTTCTCAGTTCTCATCAATGAACCTCCCTCATGCAACTGAGGGCCAGAACCCAAAACATCACAAATAGCCAAAGTGTGGAGAGTAAGCATCTACAGAGTGTGCATCCTTGGACAAGACTCTTATATCAAACTCCACCTACCCAATGTTCAGGGACCATTGCACAAGAAGGGCAGAAAGATTGTAAGAGCCAGGGAGGAGGTACATGACCATATGGAAATAGAGTCTTACAAGCTCTTGAGACCTTGCTCATATAAACCTACAGCAATGGTGTCAGCATGCACACGACCTATGCAACCTCAAGCAGACAAAACCCCAGCACAAAACTGTGGAAATGAGCAACAAGCCCCAATCTTAGTTGAAGAATTATTGGTTGTTGATTACTACTGGGTGAATAAGAGCTGTTCTTCTTAAACAGAGGGACTCTAGATAGGCTGCTTAGACCCCAGTGAATGAACTTGCACTGAGGACTGTCTGGGATCACTAAATTGACATGCTAAGCCTTAACACTAATTGCAGAATGTATGAATTCCAGTGGGGTAGGGGCCTATGGGAGGGTGTCAAAGGAGAAGAGGGTATACAGACAATTAAGTTTGATTATGATGTTCTGTATAAAATACACAAAAATTCAATTAAAAAATTACAAAAAAGAAAGCAGCAAATAACAGTTAAATAGATAAGTAGAAGTTTGGTTACTGGAAAAGTAGCAGAGATGTCTCAGACTGAGGACAAGTTATGTATAACTTCCCATATTTTGTGAATTAGATATGTCACTTACATGAGAATTTGCACTTTTATTTGCCTGAGATTTATGGAACATAGCAGAACAGGGGATAGAGAGAATACTAACATAGCCCTAAATTGTCACTAGAAAATCTTCCTCATACAACAGAGTGTGATACACACAGAAGGCCACAACTGGCCAAGTTTTAGAGAATAAGAGACTGCAAAGTACATGTCCCTAGACAGGACTCCTATATTAAAACTCATCCACTCATGGCTCAGGGAGCATTGCAAAAGAGGGGGTGGAAAGATTGTAAGAGCCAGGATTGGAGCATGAACATAAAGAAACAGAGGTTTTGGGAGGTCTCTGGGAACTTGCTCATATGAACTTGCAACAATGGTGACAGCATGCACAAAACTTATGCTGACTCAGTCAGACAAAAGCCCAGCATAGAACTTGGGAAATGGGCAACAGGCCCCAACCTTAGCTGAGGAACTATTGTTAACTGATTACTGTAGGGCGAGAGAGAGTGACTCTAGATAGGTTGATTAGTCTCCAGTGGATGAACTTGCACCAAGGGACACCTGGGTACAAATGCTTGACTGGATAGACCTTAACATATATGACAGAATGTGTGAAATCTGATGGGGGAGCTGTGGGGGGTGCAGGTGGGGAGGAGGTCTAAATTTGATTAAGATCTATTATATGAAATTCACAAAAACTCAAAAATATACATTAAAAAAGCAAACCACTTTAATTTGGCCTGATTCCTTGGCTTAACCAAAAAATAAAACCCATCATGAAATCCATTCCCTAAGCATCCTATTTACTCTGCTTTCAATCCTGATGATCCTGTGCTCCCAAACAAACACGACCAGAATTAACGTCAAATCCCACTTGACATCTTTGGTTTACCTGTGATCACCTGGGATCATCAATTTTTTTGGCTGTACCTGAAAAAGAAAGCCTGATTTAGAAAATGCTGGCCATAACTACATACTGATTTAAATAATGTACTTCCTTAGCTGTGTTTGCTAGTAAAACCATTTACATATGGGTCTGTTACTCTCCTCCCTTGACCCGCACTCTCAGGGAAGCTGTCACTTTCTCATGTACACTGCTGGCTCTTAGACTACCAACTGCCTTATGTTCTAAGGCTTTGCTCTCTCAGAACACTCATAAAATTTTGTTACACTTACTTGCTTAATGCCTTGCCTTCCTGATAAACTTTCACCTTCGTGAGGACGTGGACTACACCTCTACATTGCTATTTTTGTATTTCTAGCTTCCAAACTGCAATTTTATATTTTAAAATTAAATTGCTGAGCAAATGATCCTACTTTGAAGCATGATTGAGAGTTTTAAGCATGCTTTTTATACAGGGAAAAAGAAATGTAAAGTTACAACATTCTTAGTTAAGAAATAGCACTCCTCTGAGCTTAATTACTACGTGGACTATACCTCTACATTGCTATTTTTGTTTTTCTAACTTCCAAACTGCTAATTTTATATTTTAAAATTAAATTTATGAACAAATGATCCCACTTTGAAGCATGATTGAAAAATTTAAGCATGCCTTTTATGCAGGGGAAAAGCAATGTAAAATTACAGCATTCCTAGTTAAGAAATAGCACTCCTCTGAGTTTAATTTACTACCAGCACTAGATGGTGAATTTCTTTTGGAAAGTGTGTTTTCTCTAAGAAATAGTTCCCCAGTATTTATTGAAGGTAATTGTAGTTATGACAATAAAATGATAATTACAAAGACTTGGGTGCAGATGCTCACCTGACCTACCTAAGTGACTTACACGAAGTAATGTGAGATTTAAATTTATGATATAATAAAATTACAAGTTGTAATGTGTCAAGGACCTCTGTAGGTGTTTGGCAAAGGTGACAAAGTCAACATCAAATCCACACAAATACTGATCACCTACCATATTTAGTCAGATTGTTCTCCTGACTCATTGGCTGAGGGAGGATGGAGGAGGAGAAGGAGGGAGGTGATCAGGTGCCAGGGAGCATCTGGGGGAAGGGAGGGCAGCAAAGGCTTTAATGAGAACCTAAAGGGAAGTTTCTAGATCAATAAGAGGGGGGAAGTGTGCTAGAAACAGATGCTGTCTTTTCACAAAACTTCATCCACAGCTGGTTGTGCTCCAAGGAGAGATGAGGAAGTTCTCTGTCTCCTGATGACTAGCATGGCCTATGTTCTAAGGTCCCTAAATACAGACAGTAGTATTTTATGCATAAAGTAGGGTGCAGGGAATACATAGAACAAAAACTGCCAAAGACAG